CACCGAGGCCCCCCTCAACCCCAAGGCCAACCGGGAGAAGATGACGCAGGTAACGTCCCGCCCCCGGTGGCCGCCCCTTCACCTTCATCTCATTCACAAACCACCTTTTGTTACGGCATCTTAAACCTGAGTTTGTTTCTTTTTGTTTTCTGTTTTGTTTTTTTTTTTTTTTTCTCCCGACGTTTTCAGGGTTCTGTACTCCTGGCATTTCTTCCTTGACGCCTCAGGTTTCTTTCATTTGTGTTTTCTGCCTGCATACTTTGCTTTTTTTTCCTTCACACACTGGTGTTTGGGGTTTTTTCTGCATGCCAGCATGCGTGTTCTAACGTGGGTGTGAGCAACCTAGCTCGTTACTCTGTGCTAATTCATTTTTACTCTTCCTTTCAGATTATGTTTGAGACCTTCAACACTCCGGCCATGTACGTGGCTATTCAGGCTGTGCTGTCCCTGTACGCCTCTGGTCGTACCACTGGTATTGTTATGGACTCTGGGGACGGTGTCACCCACACTGTGCCCATCTACGAGGGTTATGCTCTGCCCCACGCCATCCTGCGCCTGGACTTGGCTGGCCGTGACCTGACAGACTACCTCATGAAGATCCTGACAGAAAGGGGCTACAGCTTCACCACCACAGCCGAAAGGGAAATTGTCCGTGACATAAAGGAAAAGCTGTGCTACGTCGCCCTGGATTTCGAGCAGGAGATGGCCACCGCTGCCTCTTCCTCCTCCCTGGAGAAGAGCTACGAGCTGCCTGACGGGCAGGTCATCACCATCGGCAACGAAGGTGTCCAGAAGCCCTCTTCCAGCCCTCCTTCCTGGGTAGGTGTGGGCTGGGGGTGGTGGCACTTGGCTGAGGCGCTGCGGTGGGTGTTAATGAGCCTCGCGCCTCACCTCCTCCTCCTCCTCCTCCCCCAGGCATGGAGTCCTGCGGCATTCACGAGACCACTTTCAACTCCATCATGAAGTGTGACGTGGACATCAGGAAGGACCTGTACGCCAACACCGTCTTGTCTGGTGGCACCACCATGTACCCCGGCATCGCCGACAGGATGCAGAAGGAGATCACAGCGCTGGCGCCCAGCACGATGAAGATCAAGGTACGAAACGTGTTTCTTTGCTCGCGCGGCAGCCGGGGAAAGGGGAGGTGTGGGAGAAGGCCGGGCCCGCTCTGACCACCGCCGCTCTCTCCTCGCAGATCATCGCTCCCCCTGAGCGCAAATACTCGGTCTGGATCGGCGGG